AGTCAATTACTTAGCATGGTTCTGCCAACCATAATGCTTTCTGTGATGTATTATAAGCTAGCCATAATGCTTTCTGTGATGTACTATAAATTCTCACTTCTGTGCCAGTGGTTATCATCCCACGGCTGGAGGGAGTGCTCTGTTCTGTGATGAAGATGGAATCTGTTCCACTCTAGAGGGGTGTCCTCCACTCACCATCTTTTGAAGAAGACAAAGCGACACTTTCAGCAAAGCCATTCATTTTGTGACCTCCCCTTCCTGACTGAGCACTGCTATAAACAAGAGGAGCTGCTTTGACTTTGGGGACATTTCTGGCGGCTGGCTCTTGGCCCTGCATTCTACTTGCCTCTGCCTGGACTGGGGTTCTTGGACTATTATCTGACCTGATCTCACCAGCTTCCAGAGCTTTGTGGGTGAAGAGGATCGTCCAGACATCTATCTGAACTTCGGATTTGGGATTTACAGCACCCATGTGCGTAAAGGTCCACGAGTTGGGGAGACGGTGCAGCAAACTGCAGGTATGAGGGATGTGAGAGGGTGTACTAAAGGGAGGAGTGGTGAGTGATCGCAAGGAAAACAGAGAGGGTATAACTTTTTGGAAAAGTTAGACATTTGAGATATCTTTAATCTTCACCTCCTTGGGACTAAAAAACCTTCACTACCACGGAGTAGATTCTGACTCACAGTGAGACTATCAGACAGTAGACTGCCCCTTTAGGTTTCTTAGATTGTAAATCGCTGTGGGAGTAGAAAGCCTTATTTTTCTCCTGCAGAGCAGATGGTGGTTTCAAACTGGTGCTCTTACAGCTAGCAGCCACTACACCACCAGATCTACTCCTTTCTTGGGACTCACTCACTGCCATCAAGTTGATGCTGAATTACAGTTTTACCCTATAGGACAGGGTAGAACTGCCCCTGTGAGTTTATGAGACTATAACTGCTTATGGGATTCAAATGCTCTACTTTTCTCCTTCGGGGATTTTGAACAGTTGACTTTGCATATCGCAGTACAACTCACAACCATTAAGCCACCAGGACTCTTCCTTGGGATTAGTCTGGTATTAATTCTTCTAAAAGAAATTATTACCATATGCAGTTGATTTTTTTGGGGGGGTGCGTGAGTTTTTTTAAACAGAATTATTTGGGGAGGTTTACATTTCAGACAACTCTACATTTAACCACTCATAAGGCCTCAGACAAACCCCTCCATCCTCCCTGTCACCATGTCAACACCTTCTAGTCTTTTGCTCCATCTTCCCACTTTGGCCTTCCCTCCCTTAGCAACATCTAAAGTCTGTTCTCTTTCATATGAAAGTCTTTGTTTTTTAAGAGTTTAATTGCCATATAATTCACATATCATGCCATAGTTCAATCATCTTAAAAAGAGTTGTCAATCATCATTACAACCAATTTTAAGATATTTTCTTCTTTCTTGTATTCAGTTATTAGCTCCCTGTTTCCAACTTCCCCTGCCATACTCCCAAGAAACCATTAATTCATTTACTGTCTCTATAGATTTACTTATCCTGAATTTCCTATACAGAAAATTATACAAAAACCAACATCAATAACAAAGTAAAACAGAGAGAAGCCATGACCAAAGAGCAGAAAATATAAACTTAGTAAAAAGAGAGATCAAATGATAAGGTGTTAAATTTTAACTAACTGCGTTCACACTATTCACATCTCTGGTCTATGGGCAAAGAGGATTCATTGAAGGCTTAATTCACTTGTATTTCCCCTTCACTT